AGTAAATTAACAACTAATATTATTGATTGTCTAACAAACGAATGTAGTTTATAAATAATATTGATAAATTAATAAATAAAATAAAAAAATTAATAACTAGTAATTTTGCATAATAAGTGAAGGGTATTTTAATCTTTTCATTATTGAGATTATTTTGACTCTTTTTCCTAAATTGAACTAAGGTTTCAATTTTTTTTTGAGACCCAAAAATAATTAAAATGCTTAACTAAAATTCTCCAAACTAATTTAAGTACATGGCAATTGGCATGATATTTTTTTGATACAAAGGACAACAAATTTACTGACCCTCAGGGAAAAGTTGTGGTTTCACCCTCATTTGATCTAAAAGTTGCTTACAGCTTGTTTGGATTAACAATATAATCAATTTTTGAGACTAAATAATCAATTTTTAAAAACATTATCTAAACAGCCAAAAGAATTAATAATTGATTACTGAGTCAAAATTATATTTTAAAAGGTTACTTATAGATTCAATTTTATTGTTAAATAATATATTTTACTTCTTAAATAAAGTTTAATAAATTTAATAATATTAAATATAACTTTATCAATAATTTAATTTTAAAAGTATATTTTTTATGATAATTTATACAGCTAAAATTAATTTTAATATCCAAATAAATTGTATTATAATATAATTAATTATAATTAAAATTAATTATATTCAATTAAAATTTAAATGAGCTATTAATATTGTTTGGTATCGTGTGCGGGGAATTGGACAAAAAGTTGTGAACGAGGTAAAGTGTAGCAACATATCCTACTGAAGTGTCTGTTTGGATTGCCCACATAATTGATTTTTTTTGGAAAAAATCATGGTTTGGGTGAAAAATACCCAAACAGCACAAAGTTTCAACTAATCAATCAATTATTTGAGCTAAATCACCTTTTGTCAATTGTCACGAGCTCTGCCTCCTAACTTCCCTTGATCGGTTTTCTAGAATCAACACCTGTGAGACGGGGGAGAAGGGCCCAGATCAGATTCACTGTTATAACATAACCTATTATATTCTTCAGATATCGCATCTCTCAAGTGAGAATAAAATTCCCGGAGTGAAAAAAAATTCAAAGATGTAAATAACAGACTTGGATTGATGAACATCCATTCATAACATTTTCATCATATATAATTTATATTTATAATGTCATTAAAGATCAACTTATATATTATTAATAAAATTTTTAATTATTATAAAATTAATGTTTAATATTTAAAAATTATATCTTTCTTTTTTAATAAATTTATTTGAATTTAGATATATTGAGTTATTTATTTTTGTAAATTAAATTATTGATTTTAATGTAATTTAAATTTTTATAATTAATTAGATATATAAGTTAAATAATATATTTTACTTCTTAAATAAAGTTTAATAAATTTAATAATATTATGTATAACTTTATCAATAATTTAATTTTGAAAAACTATATCCTTTATAATAATTTGAATTGTTAAAATTAATTCTGAATAAATCATCTAAACATTTTTAATTCTATTAAAATTAATTTTAAAAATAATATCCAAATAAATTGTATAATAACAATCAATTATATTAATTAATTATTTTTATATTCAATTATACTCAATTTTAAACCCTTCAAGATAAGAGGAGGGAAAAGTTATACCTAAAGGGGGGAAAAATCCATATATGTTAACAAAGATGCCCAAGGTGAAAAAGCTTGGAAGGTGGGAGGGAGAGGAGAGGAGACCGAACATTAAAGAGAGAGAGAGTGAGAGTGACATTTAAGGATCACTTTAGGATGAATATAAAGTAAATTATTATTAAAATAAAAATATGATTTATTTTTTTTAAAAGACTTGTCATTAGTTGTTATCTATAAATAATTTGATGTGACTATTAGAAATGAGCAAAACTGAATTGAAATTGACAATGGAATCGAATTGTGTCCATTTGATTTGATTTTTCGGTTTGATTCGATTTTTTTTTAAAAAAAATTTTGGTTGATTGGTTTGATTTAGTCTGAGAATTCTAGAATCAAATAAACCGAATCAATTGAATTATCCATATTTTTGAAAATGTAAATAAATTTTCATTTAGGTGAGTAAGAAACATCTTTCTACTACTTGCAGTAGAAGTATTTTTTTTGTTTAATGTGATATTTTAATTTTTTATTTTTATAATTTAGTTTTTAGTGCAATAGTACTAAGTCTTATTAATTTTCTCATAAATTATGGTATAAGATTGCTATTTTTTTGTGAGCCTTCAATATTAAGGGAAAAAAATTGGATAAAAGAATGTATGAATGATTAGACTTCATAAATTTAAATCAAAGCTCATGAATTGAATAAACTGATCGAATCGAACCATTAAAATTTGGTTCAGTTATGTATTTCAATTTGATTTGATCTAAATTTTTTATATAATTTGATCAATCAGTTTTAAAAAAATTAGAACCAAACCAACTTAATGCTCAACCCCAACGATTGTCCCTAAAAAAAAGTCTACTTTAGAAAAGGACAAAAATAGTGCATGCTGGCTGAATGAATATTGTAGTTTGATATAGATGAACTAAAGACTTAAAATACATCCCAAGAGATAAATTCAAGGCAAAGGAATAATTAATGGCAAAGGAACGATTAATCTGCTTGCACAATCAAACGAATAACTGATTGAATTTGGAGCACCAGGCCAATAAGAAAGTACTTTCCTCTTGGATAATTATGCAATACCTGCAATATACTGTGTGACACACTTCAATATTTTATCTCATCCTTTTAAAACAAAACTTACCTATCCGAAGAACAACCGAAAAAAAAAAAAATCCTGTTTTGATAAATATTCTTCAATTTCAAAGCAATAGACACAAATAAATAAATTAAAAAATAAAAAATACAATATACATAAACAAAAAGTGTTAAATGACTTGAAAAAGCAAGCACAAATACACAGCACAAAGATAGTATATTAACAAACATATCCCTATACATAATTTAAAATATTAAATAATTGATATTTAAAATCATTCTAAAATTTTTATTTTAAAAAAATATTCATCGTATCATAATATTCATATTTTTAGTTGTAGATGTTTCTCTCTCTTCACACACGAAATTCCATAACGGGAAATCATTTTGGATAATAAAAAAACAAATTTTCCAAAAGCATTTGAGATAGAAATACAGATTTTCCTAAAGAATTAATTAACAATTAATTTAAAATCAGCAAATGGAAGCGCGCTGCTTCACTTCCAAGGCTTCCCTTTTATCTCTCCCCTAATTTCAGCTTTTGTTGCTTTTTCCTGTTACCAGAGATGAAGGATGGCAATGAAGATTGAAGAGGAAAAGATCAAAGAAAAACTATTCTTGTCTCGCATATAAGAATATGACCCCTTATCTTCTTCGATTTTCCCGTCCATTCTGTTAAACTACATCTTCCCCCCCCCCCCCCTTTTTTTTTGATAACACCATCTTGCTCTTTCTTCTCCACCCTTCTTTCCTTTTTTCTTATCCTCTTCTGCATTTCAATATCAAAATAAAGTATAACAGACAGTAAGTAAGCAAATAATAATAAAATTTCAGTTTTACTATTTTATGATTATAACGACAAAGTTGGCCAAAAAAAAAAAGATTATAACAACAAATGATTTCGAGGTTGAAAAATCTGGCTTCTGATTTTGGCGGTCAATAAAAATGTGAAGAAGAGGATAAATCACCAGTTCAACCTCCACAATCTTGCCCATTTTCAAAAGCTCAATGTTTCTAAAAATGAGACAAAAGCATCCTATTGCATATACGTATCTAATTTTAACATTGAAGCATTATGTGAAAAATGGAGACAGCTTGTGGGAGAGATGGCGGGGGAAGAGAGGGAGTCGCTTATAAGGAATGAAGATTAGAGTTAGGACGACGCTGGCAAGGAAGAATAGGCAGTGATAAGTCATTGTAGTGGGAAGACATCCTTTCAAGCTTTGCTTGGGAACGTGAAATAGGTCTGCTCTGGAAGTCCATAACCCAGCTAGATGCAGCCCATAGGATCTATGATTTTTGGCCCTGTTCTTCATGACATTCAGTCCCAATCCTTTGTTGCCTTCCTTTTTTGAATATGTGCTCCATGTTTCCAGCCATGGGAGCCTGAGAGTGATAAAGAAATGAAGGCCTGTCATCTCCCAAACTCAATAAATTTGAGGAAGCGTGTATATAAAGAGAAACTGATGGGAATGGGTAGGGAAACAATGTAGATCATAAAGAACATGCGAAATCAAGATGGAGAGACAAATAGTTGTTGAGAATACAAAGAAAAAAGGGAGGAGTGTCATGTGATATTGGAAAAGCTGACAAGGGGTGAAAATATTTGAAAGTCCACGAATAAAGAGGGATGAATTCATAAGCATGCGAACCCAAGATCCAAGTCATGAAAAAATGTGAAGCCAGTACTGTAGCGTAGAAAAGGGAAATGAGTTTGGAGCTGATAAAATTGTCGTCTCGGCTGGAGAAGTGTTAAGGCCCTCTAAATTATAATATAAGATTTTTTTAAAAAATTTTAAATAATTTAAAATTTAATGTATTCAATAATTTTTATATTTATTTTTAAATTATACTTCTATTTTATTTATTACTCATTTAAAAAAATCATGTGTTAAAATTTTAATTATTATCATTAAAATTTTTATATAAAATATTTAACAAGAACATAAATAAAAATATGTGTGTATTTTTAAAAATTTAAGATTTTAAATGATTTTTCTTGTGATCGGGAGGGAGTATATTAAGGCATGGAGCATGAGTCTAATGAACCTTGCACATATCGGAGTTCGGGCATGAGCGCCACCAACTCACACCATCGCTATCAAATCACGAGATGCCTGCTGCGTGCCCGCAAGTGGAAGGCCATGTTCACTGTTCACACACACGCACACCCCAACGGTGTCAGGCAATTTCGCTCACCACTGGCTGGTTTTACTTTAATTTGACAAATTTCACGGTACTACGTAACCAGAGTTTGCAGCATCGTTTATACGTAGCTTAGTTATACGGATTTAGGAGCCATTGTTCATTCTCATACTGCGATTAGATAAAGTGGAAAAGAAATTAATTATTAAAAAAAAAAAACTAAAGGGAGTCACTTTTGACCACCTTGCCGTCCCTCATCGATGGTGTTCCTCGGTGGAGGTTTACGCAATCCCATTATGCTCGCCACCCAAACCTACCGAAAGATTCCGTCTTCCTTTTTCTATTTGGCGGTGCCTTTCTATCAATGCTCTGCACATTGGCTCGCGTTCATGTTTCCTTCAGTCTCGTCCTTCTTGGCCCGGGGGATTTCATAGCGACCCTGTACCTCCTTCATGACAAGCCCTGAATCTTTACATGCGCCTAATCTCGGATTTGTTTCCCTTCTTCTTCAGGTGGCGTATGCTGGGTTTTTCTTCTTGTAAACACTTCCAAGGTTGAATTTTTCCCTGCGGTGCAAAGTGGTAAAAAGGAGACAAATTCTGCGTGTTTTTACAATCGGAACATCCGGAACTTCTGGATTTTTCTGTCCCTGGAGGAAAACCAGACAGAAACACTATTTTATTCAAGCTTCTGGATATTTTTCTTCTTTCCTCGCAATTTTGTCGAAGCCTCTCACTCCATGGGTAACATAGGAAGTAGCGGCGCTAACGGCCGTCGGAGAAGCAATAGTAGACGGAGGCATCCGCCGCCGACGTCGCCGCCACCGTTCAGGACGCAGCCAGAAATCGCGTCCAGTCGGTCTGTGCATCCAGCATCTACACCTCACACATCGCAATACCCGAACCCTTCCCCGTATTTCCAGTACCCAGGTCACTATTCCGCTCCCCATCAGGCTATGCCGGCGCCGTTGCCGGCTCCTCTCGATCACCACCATCGAGCGGGGCCTCATCCACAAACGGACCCATCACGGACGGGTGTAAGTTACCATTGCGGGCCTGCTGCGCCTCCACCCGCACCATATGTAGAGCATCAGAAGGCGGTTACCATAAGGAACGATGTTAATGTCAAGAAGGGTACTCTAAGGGTTGAACCTGATGAGGAAAATCCTGGGCGGTCCCTTGTTGCTTTCACATTTGATGCCACCGTAGATGGGAGGTAACTTTTATTTCTCCATTTTTAGCTGAGTAAAGAAAATCTGTGTTCGGGTTATCTATTGGATCACGTGAAGAGGATGCCTGTAAAGAAAATCGGCGCTGTGTCTGTGAATTATATGCCTTCGTAATCGTGTTGGATGAAAGATCACTGTTTGCTTTCGGGTTGCGAATTACCATTCTTCCTTCATTCTTTTGTGAGCTCTTGCTACTTTAAGATCGTTCGATATTCCGTTTGCAATTTGAAAACTACAAAAGCAAATCGGCAATCCACTAATTGTACATTTTGTCGTACCTGCTATCTGTTCATGCTATGTTATGTTATCAGCTATTAAAATTTGATGGTAACTTGGCTGTTAAACTGTTGTTACAATTTTTCATTACAAGTTACTAACACACAATAGCAAGGGCTACTGGCCAGCGTAAATTGTGACCGGCTAGCATAAAGAGTGCAAGCAATGGCAACAAGCAAATATCAGCATGATCACAGTTTTAAATTTTAATAGTTGATTACATAACATGAACAGATAACTAGCACAAGATGTAAAATTTTAACGAACACGGAGGTTGTTGGACTAAAAAGTGTAAACTTCGGTAGCTCATTTTAATTTTTGTCTGATTATCTTAAGTTTTCTGATTAACAGATAGTCATCTCAATGCTCAACAACAATAACGACAACAAGCTTTATCCTACCAACACATAAAATTCTTCGACAATATAGGTGGTCCATGTGAGGACCAAAGTGAAGAACTGAAGATCTGTTGCGGATTGTTAGTTTGGCCAATCATGTCATCTGATAACAAACTTAACTTATAAATGCTGATTTCTTTATGCATATCTTCAACATATCAATCTGTCGATACATCAAAAAGACATCTAGATCCAGTTGCATTTAGTTGGAATTTCCCGTGTTTTTTGCAAAATGCTTTTTTCCCTTTTCCCAAAAGGGGTAATAATCACTGGTATAACTTTTAAAAGTTGGCTTTATGCATGTTTTAGTAATTTTTTTTGGCAGAGTTGTATGAGAAAATAAAATTGTGATTAATACCTGTTATTTGAATATTTGACTATACATAATTAGGAAGACTTAATGTATGTTCAGTAACGAATTTAAAATGTTAGTGCTGGTAAATGCTAAATTTGAATTTCTGTGAGAATTTATCATGATGTCATAATAATGATGACTATGAGGATTGTTTAGTATTGTTCTTCATTTACCTGTTCTAATGGTGTTGTTTCTTGTTACCTCCATAACAGCATTACCATCCTTTTCTTTGGTAAAGAAGATGAAAGCTGCATCCTTACACCAACGAAGCAAAATATTTTAGCCCCTGTAACTGTAAGTTTCCAGCAAGGTCTTGGCCAGCAGTTTAGGCAGCCAACTGGAACTGGTATTGACTTTTCAATATTTGAGGAGTCAGAATTATCAGAAGTGGGTGCAGTAGATGTGTTCCCTCTAGCAGTGAAGGCAGAAGCATCCTATGGTAAACAAGATGAATCGAATGAAAACTTAGCATCTGATAGCAGAAACTCTCAGATAACTCTAGCAGCGTTTGAGAAGGAGAAAGGAGAATTCCGGGTAAAAGTAGTTAAGCAGATCCTATGGATAAATGAAATGAGGTATGAACTGCAAGAGATATATGGTATTGGAAATTCAGTGGAGAGTGACTTGGACGAAAATGATTCTGGAAAGGAGTGTGTCATCTGCCTCTCAGAGCCACGAGACACAACTGTTCTTCCCTGCCGACACATGGTACTTGCAGCTTACATTTCTTATTTAACATGTATGAATAGATGCTGTTAAGATACTGATTGTACAGCACATATTAATTTTCATCAAATATTTATTTCAGCCAAATTGAATCATTAGGATTTGCCTTAAATTAGTCTCTCTCTGATGTTGATGATCATACGTCTCAGTCCTTGAGTTCATCTTGATATGCTTTGGCTGCATTCCTTTGCTTGTTGCAGTGCATGTGTAGTGGGTGTGCAAAGGTTTTGAGGTTTCAGACAAATAGATGCCCAATTTGCAGACAGCCAGTTGAGAGGCTTTTGGAGATAAAGGGCCATTATGATAGCCAACCCGAGGAATGATGACGTTATGAAGATACAGTGTTGATGCTTCAGGCTTCCTGACCCTGTACAGCCCAACCATTATACTTGATACTTCTATTCTCATAATTTTCTTTCCCTTACCTTTCCTGAATTTCAATTATGGAAATGGAGATCATGTATGGTAAGCTGTTTGACAAAGACAAATGGCTGGCTTATTACGCCTCATCTATACAAGTCAATATATTCTGGTCTGCGTTACTCCAAAGTGGGTTGAACCGCCTTGGGAAAAAATTATACTTAAACGTGTTATTTCTTCATGTGACTTGTTTTTAAACTTGTTTGTCTTCTAGCGTTTATAGGATGATGGTTTAGTCATCCCTCTCAGATAATCAATAATTTGTTATGCTCCTGCCGACAGGTTTGCCATTTACAAATAACTAACCTTATTGTTGAGGTGGTGGTGGACTGTTTGCAAATTTGAAATCTCTGATCATCATTTATCAACCGCTTTCATGCATTCTAGTGACATTTTAACAGGCATGGATTATGGGCGACGTCAGATATTTTGTCTGGTTTAAACAGAAGCTGGACATGTCAGGCCATGGATTTGATGATGTCTTTGGTTAGTACTTGGTACTAGTAAAGGACATCAAAAGAGAGGTTAAAAGTGATAGTAATCATCTTCTGTTTTCTTGCTTGCCAGCTAAATGTTTTTCCAAAGAGTATCATATAAAAACAACTTGCTAACTGGTCGTGTGCGTCTGCGTCTGCGTGTAGTGATTTGGTCATGCTGTTTAGAAGGTACCAATTACTTAAGTTAGGGAGCTCCTTATGATCTGTTTGACAAACAAAGAGCGAAATGTGATTAAGATAATACCAGCATACACGTAATCACCCCATCAGAATCGATCTCTCTTATGTTGTTTACCGGGTGCTGATTTGGAATTTACAAGTCGGAAGGACGGACACGGACTGAGTAAAAAGGGCCATTGAGAATTTTGAACTCAATACGATGAAATTCATCTGCCAAGGGAAAGGTAAAAGCGGAGTGAGCTCGAATTCATAGTGGATTAATGCTGGGATTATCAACTGTGCATATATGTAATTATGACCCCCATTTTAAACCAAAACGCCATGCATAGTTCAAGCAAAAACAACAATCAAAGCAGGAAAGAGCGGCTATGGTTCGTCTTTCTGGTAGCACAACAAAATTAGCCTTGCTTGTGTATCTTTTATACAGCATATTTGTATGATAAGGATCACCCCATTTATCGAATTCACATGATCCAGGGGATATATGGTGGCTCACACCAATCCAAGCCATTCCCAGCAGTAACGGAAAATGATTCCTCTTCTGCTATAGAAGTTGATTCTCTTCTCTCTCTGTTTTGAGTGTTTTCCCCACCTTAACATGTCGTTGATGATATTTGATGGTTTTCATGAACGATGAAAGTTGTTACTTTAACTGGTGCTTAACACATTACCATCCCACCCCCATGAAAGAAAAACACAGATGCACGCTGATTTCATTACCGAAAGAGAATGATAGTGGTTTGGTTTGATTTTAAGCGCCCGACGCTGATCTGGGCGTTCATACCAACCTCCTTCCACTTCACAAATGACAACCTCAACTGCAACACAACACAGCAGTTGGACTTTAGTACGAAAACACATCAAACGCAGGAATCCATGCACGGATGCAGACTTCCTACTGATCAACAAACCATTGATGGACATAGACACCGTTGCTTCTAAGGCCCTTGTAGATGTTCATACAGCTTTCCTTCGTCTTCACACTTTTACCATCTAATACGTCTGGGCAGCCCAGGAACAGCTCATCCACCAAACATATAGCTCCGCTTTCAAATATATCTGCCAGCAGCTTCATCTCCAATTCTCCAGCATTCATCTTCAGGACCACAAAATCCGCATCTTGCACGGTTTCTTTGAACCACGCAAGGAAATCAAACTCCTCTTCTCCTACAAATGGATCCAGGTCGACTGAACTAAGCTTTCCATCCAGTCCTGGATGAGAAACAAATGTGATGCTGGGTTGTTTCACGTGGGATTGCAGGATGGAAGTGTTGTAGTGAACAAAATAGACTCTGAAAGCTCTCTTATCGATGGGGTAAGATGGAAGGAACCAATCACTGATATTGGCGTTGTTCAGAAGCTCACCAACTCCGACATCAATGTACACTAGCCGCTTCTTACTAGAAAAGTCTACAAACTTGGGTAAATACCACATCCCTTTGGCATACTTCGGAGGTCTTTCCTCCACAAGCGGTTCCATCAGCTTTATGAGAGGCTTGGTAAAGGTAAGACTGGGACAATCAGCTGGAAGGGGATTCTGGTAGAAGACACTGGTTTCGGATCTTTTCTTGAAAACGACCAGACTAAGTTGATTGATATATTCGACATGCACAATGCTGGAAGATCTCAGTAACGAAGACACTGGACTAACGGACTTGATCAAGTCATTTGGGTTTGAAGCATCAGCACCCACAAGGAGGGCTCCGATTCCACCGGGCTTAAGGATGCGCTCAACCTCCAGCACAAGTAGACCAGGAACCGAAATCTTATCTAGGTCCTTGGAGAAGACGAAGTCGAATGAACGGTCCTGGTAGTTAAGCTCGTACACGATTTTCTTCGGTTTGAGAGAAAATGGGCGTGGTTTATGGACACCAATGACACTGGAGAATCCCAGCCGCTGCATCGCCGGGACGGCCATTGGGGATGCATCTCCAATACAGAGACTTTTGGCACCACGGTCCAAAAACCGTTTACCCATCAGCTCAGTGACCACGTTCACAGTCAAATTGACATCTTGTTTGCAATTTAAAGATTCGAATGAACCCCAGAAGGTGTTCAGAATCCGAACCTGGAACAAATAAGAGCCGGGAGTGACAGCGGTAGAATCCGAATCTGAATCCGTCATGCAGTCATCGTAGGTGATGGGAGACAGTGCTCCCAAGTCGAAGGTGGGCATGACGCGGAGCAAAGAAACGATGGATATAGCAGAGGCAAGCACAAGCGTGCGAAAAAGGGCACGCCTCACTACAGACTCGCCTAGTGTCTGGAATCCAGCGGCCTTTGTATCCATGAGAGTTTCAAACTGAGTAGCTCGTCAGAAGCGAGATAATCTGGATAACCGAAACGGGTGAGGAAATGAACGCCAAAATAAAACAGGTAGATTAAGCGAGCACAAACCTGGTGGTACCAGCTCTCACCCATGCTAGGAACACTATATTCCCACACGGAACCTAGGAGATGAACTCATATCCCGCAAACTTTGGGTTCAATAAATGGTAGAATGATAGTGAAAGAACGTGATCCGATGAGGAGGAGGAGACGCGTTCAGTTAAGATATGGAGAATTAGGGACAATGAGCGACAATGAACGTGAGTGAGAGTAGCAGCGCTATATGTCGATCAAATCCTGGGCTCGTTTTAAACTTTTTACAAACAAAAATAATTGGTTTTAATGAATGCAGGAGAGTGGACGTTGTCCTTGAATAAATGGAGCGGGTGAGTTGGTGGGGACAGGCGAGGCTGGCGTGGCCGAAGCCAGAAGGGACGACACACGTGTTAGTTTTGGGAAGGGCGTGAGTGTGAGTGGCAGCCCCAAGCCCCAGTTGCAATGTTTATTAAAAGAGGGTCTTTTTGGCCCGAAATAATGGGCGCATTCTCATAAACTAGTCCATGTTGCATTCTTGGGGGAGACGCCCTGTTTGCTGTTAAATAAACCATGGTAACGTGCGTTCGAATATATTTCCCTTTTCCAAAAAATAAAGTTGTGGCTTTGGTGCTTTATTGCACATGGAATAAATAAAAGTCTCACTATATAAGATTAATTTATACTTTTTTATTTTAATTCTATTTATAAAACTTCTCAATAATTATTATATTTATTTTATCTTTTATCTTTATTAAATATTAAAAAATTTATTAAATACTAGTTTGTTTTATTTTAAAGAACATATATTCAAGGAATAAATTTAAAAACTTATTAAATTTTTAGATAGAGTGATATAAAATGAGGAAGGAAAAGGGGGGAAAGAATATAAAAAAAAGAAAAAGGGATCGATAGAGGGAATAGGTAAAAAAGAAAATTCAAAGGAAAGGCAAAATAACAATAATTCTTATTCAATCAAATGTGTATCTACAAAACAAATGAGTTAAGATGCTATTTATAGGCTTCTACCTTAACACTAAAATTAAAAGCAAAAAATTCTTAAAATCTTATAATTAAATGAAAAGATAATAATAATTTAAATATTACGACAATTAAAACAAAATATTCCTAATTAATAAAATATCCCAACAAAATATCTTCAATCTTTCAATCTTGTCAAATCTTTAATACTTTAATTAATTCTATTTCTTTTTCTTCCCATCATTTCTTCTCTGCTTGAAGAAATTTCATCCAGAGAGTAAAATTGTGGATATGCTCTGGAAGTACAATAAGATTGAGAGATTTCAAGTTGTGTCTCTATTTAAAAACCTTTTCTAGCAAATTAGATACCAACAAATGACATCAAATGAATAGCAAACAATCTAAGCATGTAAAAGCATAACATACAAATTTGAAAATCCTTTCTAATGAATAAGATAATATTGAAGGGAACCATATGGTTCAAGAACACTGTGCTTACATATTTACAATAACATCAACACTAGAAAGCATAGTAGATGAATTAGGCAGAGCATAAGCTGGTTGAAATTTGATACCATCAATAGTCTCAAAATTCTCAGCTACCATGTGTAAAATTTGCTTCCACAATCTCCTTCTTGATAAAAAGTTGACTCTTAAGTCTCAACAATGCTTATATCTTGGGCAAGAGCAAAAGCTTCAATATAATTCAATTAGACTTCTTTAATTTTTATGTCGTCACATGATTCAATCTCAAAATCAACAGTGATATTACTCTCAGCACAGTGTATAGTCTTGGTTAGGCATATTATCTCCTTTAGAAGTCAAAATATTAGAGTCTTTATAATGTTTTAAGATACTATCAAGAAGATTAGGAGTTTTTTCTTTTGATATGACTTTTTCCTTCTCAACTTGATAGTAATGCCCTTCTTTTAATGTGAAAACATAGATCAAACGGAGCTTTAGAGTTCATCAATTTCATCCCTCACAAATTCAAGGCATAAACATATGAAATCTAAGTTTGATTGATCAACCAAATCATACTGATAGTGACATTGATGATGATTAACACAAACATAGTAGTGCATAATCATATTGACAATGATAATTATATCAATCACAATCAATATAATCATATTGATAATGATCAATATAATCATATTGGTAATTAAATAAGGCCACAACATTAAAATTGAATGTGGTTTTTTTTTAGGTAATAGAAGGTCTCTCTCTCTCTCTCTCTCTCTCTCACACACACAGAGAGAGATATGGAGGCTCAAATATCTATTTGAAAAAAAGGTTCTCAAGTTAAAATGTGAAATCTTATTCAACAAATCTTAACACTCTGAGAACTCAAAAGTTTCCCAGCATCAAATAGGTTAAATAAGTAACAACTTGAGTAAAGTCTTCATAGTGACCTCTGAGGGCTTGAAAACCCCTCAGAAAATCAATAGAAACTTCGACTAGTTTAGGATAATTTTGATCCAAATATAAGGCCAAATTATTTATAAGGTGAATTTTTTTTCTATGTTGAATCAAAGGAAAAATCAAATGAGTGAACGAAGGAAAGTAAAAATGAAATTATAATTAAATAAAGGAAAGAAACATAATGAAATAAGAGAAAAAGAAATAAATATGGTAAATGGCTTAAAGTGAAGGAAAGTGAAAACAAACAAGAATAATAAAAAAATGAATAAAAAAAAGAGACAAGTAGCAAAGAACCTAAAATTTAGGATCGAAGAGTCTTATCAAGTAACTTAAGAAGCCTTAAGTTATGAATTTATCTCCCAAAATATTTTCGTAAGATGATTCTTGGCACATAGAAGGTATTTTAGAGTGAGTTGGGTAATAAAAGTGGTGTGATAACCTTAACTCTAATACCAATTAATGTAAAACAGGGAAGAAAAATAGGGGAGAGAATATAGAAAAGAAAGAAAGGAATTAGTAAAGAAAACAAAGAGAAGAGAAAACTTAAAGAAAAGGCAAGCTAACAATAATTTTTATTCAATCAAATGTGCGTATAAATTAAATGAGTTGAGGTGCTATTTATAGGCCTCAACCTAACCCTAAAAATAAATGCATGAAAATTTAAAAATTCTAAAATTAAATAAAAAGGTGATAATAAATGTTAAAAGATAACAATAATTCAAATTAAAATAAAATATGCATGATTAATATGAGAGCAAAATATTTTCAATATTCAAATTTACAATATCTTTGTGATATCTTTAATTATTTCTTTTTCTTTTTTCTTCCCATCATTTAATTGATGCAGAACAGGGAAGGAGGAGAGGAGAAAGAGAATATTAAAAAAAAGAGAAAGAATTCAATCAAGAGATTAAATAAAAGAGGAAAACTTAAAAAAAATTAAAATAACAGTAATTCTTATTCAATTAAATATGCTTACGAATTAAATAAGTTGAGGTAGGCCTCAACCCAACCCTATAACTAAATCCATGAAATCCTTAAAATTTTAAAATTAAATAAAAAATAACAATAGATCAAAAGATAATAATAAATATTAAAATATAACAATAATTTAAATTAAAACAAAACATGTGTAATTAATGAGAGCAAAATATCTTTAATACTCAAATTTATAATATCTTTGTAATATCTTTAATTATTTTTTTTCTTTTTTCTTCCCATCATAGAGTAAGTGATGTTTAAAAATTTTTTTAGTGTATGAAAATATTAAAAGTAACTTTTAAATATGACACAAAAGAATACAAATCAAAGAGAGCAAAATTTACAATGCTAAGCAAAAAAAAAAAAAAATTCTTTTCACTTTCATCGTCCCCTTTAAGGTCTTGCTTTTTTTTTTTTTGTCAGCAATGTCATTCTATTTTAATTCTTAATTACATCTATTTAATGTCTTCCATCTAACATGAATATCATTTAAAACATACAATAATTATACTTGAAATTCAAATTAAGCCAATTAAATATAAATGGGGGAAGTAGTATTAAATAGATGAATGGGATCGTAGATCATTAACTACACCACGATGACATGATTGAGCTCATTGACTGCACCATTATGCGCTCAAGCTGTCGTTCCCATATTTTATTAGCCTCGTTCATCAAATAATGCGAGGTAGTGTTACCACCACCATATCCGATAAGTGTCTGAATTTAAAAACATTGACACTACATCTGCGCGCGCGCGCAGAGTACACACACAACCACATGATAAAAATACGACACTTCAGAAGGTCTTCGCATCATTTATGACACGCTACTTTAAACTTTTCTTTTTTTGGGAACATGAGCGGGCAACAGCCCAAAAAGGAAAAAACTACAACACGATAACATACAAAATCCCAAAACCAGCAAGCTAAAACCCCGTCAAACCAAACCCACATTTATCAGCAAGGCAAACATATCCGTCCAAACGTGCAGGTCTCAGGTGAAGTGATCTATTTTAAACTGTGTTTTGCGATATTGCAAAATTCTAATATTTACTGCACGGAATAAATTGCACATCACATGGCCGGGCATGTTTTACCTTTTTTTTCTATTAAAAAAAAAACAAAGTCATAAAAACTGCGCTGGTCAGCAGTACAATCATGCCATTTGTTGCTGCCATTGACATATTGGCGTGCACTCGTGCTAGTCACTACGCTTCACATGGAAATGATGGACCACTCCACCCTCGTCTTCGCCTATTGGCTTTCCCACTCCCAGGAATGCTCCTGATTTCATCATTTTATTTATTAATTGCTGACAAACTTCCACTATCATTCCCTCTTCCTACCTAAAAAAGCAAGCTCATCGTAGGAAGTGGCCAAGGGGCCGTTCCAGCCAACGAACTACTACTGCATGGAACTTGGGTTTACATACCAAAATCAAAAGCCCCCAATAGAGATTTAGAAGTTCCTTTTCGCATGTCCTCCAAATTGCCACAATTCCGCAAAGAATAAAAAGAAAAAAGTGACGCCTAAGAGCCCGCAGTATAAATTATGGCCCCAATGCACTTTACAGCAGGGATAAATTATGGAATATTTCGCATTGTTCCGATTATTAGATCTACTCTGACAACAGCCGCTTTCTAATTACAGATGGAAGTGATAGAGAATTCTCTCATCCTTTCTTTGCCATCGATGGCAGGCCATGCTCATCCTTGAATATACAGTAGGACCAGTTGGTTCATCTCATGAGAAAATCACGTTAAGACTAGGAAACCAACCGGATAAAAGGATAACCAACCAAGTAAAAAATATTAAAAAAAACAGGGATCAAATTTCCTTTAGATTGATAGGATATAGTCTGTCATTGTTTGTAACTAGTATTGCTAACCTTGCTTGGAAGCAGTGGTTTCTCCCTCAAGCTGGCAGCTAACAAGGTTTCAGAGCTGCTTGGTTGGCTCTCAGCTATCCCAGGTCTCGTCCAGATTTTAATGTGTCCTTCTCGACAAGCAGTGAGTACAGATTCCTGGGTAAATATCAAGCCCGAGAGGGGTTCGGTGTGTGCACGATGAGCAACCAGAGGTGAGATTTTTGGAACATCCCGCATGCTTGGAGCAGGTTGCAGCGTACCCAATGGGACAACACTGTCCCAATGAGCTGACTGGCTCCCAGCGCTGTAAGTGGGGGATCCACCAGGTGGCCGCCGCAATGGTACCACAATCTCATCCATTTCCAGGTCCCATAGAAGCAATTGCGTATCCTGACCAATAAAATATCTTAGCTCCAGCAACTGAGCAGTATAGGAGTTTCAATGATGCAAAAAATGCAAAGAAACAAGTTGGCAATTTCAGCAATCAATCAATAAAGTAACAAATGTACAAGCGATCACACATATGAAAGGCCATTTTCACAATTCTGACAGCATCACTGTACTACTTGTGACACATCTCTTTCATTAAAACTTAAGTTATAGGCAAAGCCATTTGACATACTTTATTAGAAATTCACGATCCATCCTTCTTCATGAAGACAAATTTTAGACCGTTCCCTCTCAAGGTTGGCGTGATAATTCAGCAAGTTGATTGTTAACTAAAATCAATTTCACAAATAACAAACTGTTCTCACCAATTATTCTGCAATACAATCTACATAAACAAGCTTTCATGTCAAAGGGCCTAGCCTCCAGGTAATTAGAATTGCCTAACAATCATATGGAATCCGAAATCTGCTAAAAGCCTTCCTCATTTATTTATGTTTGCTTATGAACTTTAATTTTCTCACATAAGATATTGCTACATTTAAAAGTGAAAGGCCTTTGAATATCAGCAAACTTTATCATAATAGGGAGAACTTATTTTCAAAACAATAAAACAAATTGCGGAATGAAAACAAAAATTCATGTGAAAATCAAGTTCTTGGAACTTAAAACTGCCAAAACTATGGAGGACACATCATTTTTTTACAAAACACCTTAGTACCTGACCAACAGATCCAAAACGATACATAACAGTTTCAGTATTGTCATTTGAATTTGGTGATGTCCAATATGAATCAAAAGCCACTCCGCTGACCTATAATAGCAAATGCCACGTCTTAATTCAGAGATAATTGAAAATATATAATGCTTGCTGCAAATTACCAAAAGGACTTACCCATGAGTTGTGCCCCTCACCCCATGCCACGACCTTGCGATCCTCCATGCTCCAAACTTGCACTAGATCATCTTCTCCTCCAGTCAAAATATATTTTGCATCCATGCTGTTAAGAAGATTTTGATTATGTTTTTGTAATCTCATTTTGTGAAGCCAAAAATAAAAATGTGGGCGCTCTAAAGTGTGAGAAAAATAATTTAATAAATTCTAGTGCAATACAAAAACCAAAGATGGAAATGAATCCAACAATGGCTGTCCACTCTTACAAATGACTTGGATCAAACATGTCTCACCTCCAAGCACAGCATAACAGAGCACCATAATAACTTTTACCACCACATACAAGTTGTTCCTTAGGGAAATCAAACACTCGCAAATAGCCTGAATGCAGTAAGCCAGATGAGCTCAACAAGGTGCTTTTGGAAGAAAACCTAGAAAGGCACAGAACCACCACAGTGCTGATAGTGTTTAAATGAATAAATTTAATCAATATACCATCTCTTCCAACAGTAGCTAAGTATGCTCCATCATTTGAGAAAGAAATACTGTTAATCGAGCCCTGGCATATGTGCCATCTGGCAAATGGATTACTCTGCACAGAATAATCCAGAGGTGAGGATAAATTTAAGCTGACACATTCTTAAGCTACTCGTAAAATTTATGGGAATTGGGAGTTTGCTGATGAAAGCCATGCCACAAAGAAGGGTGAAGATCATGACATGCAAAAATCCCATAACATCTGAATGACATATTGCAAAAACTGAAAGTTCACTAAAATTAAAGTCGTATGTTTCTTTTGACCAAAAAAAAAAAAAGGTTGTATGTTTTCATCTTTCCTTTGTTTGAACTGTAACTCACGTGTCAAAAGAGCACATCATGAACAGAAACGTATATGGTTCTGATCCAAACACTTACCAGTGGATAACCATTACAGAATAGCAATAGATTTTGATGGATACAATAACTTCATAAATGAAAAATTTAGAGCTGCCGTTATCCTATCCATACTTTGCTTAGATTTTACTCAGACATCAAACTCAATACCTTACTGTAACGTGCATGAGAAACAGAAAATTGTGCAAGATCTTTAATAACTGGGAAGGAAGAATCTCCAGCACCATCTTTGTTCTGAAATGGGAGGAAAGCTAACATATGACCAAATTACTGTAAAAATCCTCATTATATAAGAACCTTATAAACACATCTCTCGTTATAAATGAGGCTTGCCTTTTCATATACATACAAATTCCCATCAGCGTGAGCAACAACAAAAGCACCATCACCTCCAGGAATCCATGCAATACTAGTACAACGACTGTCCAAAGCAATGGATATTAATCAAATAAGATTGCAGACAGCGCCTAACACAATATTCTATTATGTATGGAAGTTCTTTTAAGATGACTAAGACAACAGACAAATCTTGATAAAGCTAATAATTTAGGGAAATTGCTTCTAAGTTGTCTAAAATTCAACAACAATAATTAAGATCATTGATTTGACTATAACACATCATTCACATACGTTAGCCGGTATGAGTGCATGCTTGCATGCGTGTATGCATGTGAAAACAAACCACCTGTACACAAACAAACTGCATTTTTGCAATGACTAAATTTTATTCAAGAGAAACATGCACATAATGCAGGAGACAGAAATTAGTACCAAAAGACAACCTGCAGACAAACACTAAAAGAAGTAAGTACAATAAAATTGATCCTCTTCATTCTAATGGGGGTTAAAATTCCTTTAGAGCAGATTTATGATTCCCTGTTTAACACAGCTAACACAGCACCTTAATGGAATTCCTTGCGTTGAGAGCCCAATTTGCAGTATTATGGATTATTAATGAGCAAGTGCAGTGGAGTTTCTATTTTAATTTACTGATAACTTTTACAATAGAGTATAACAAGAAACAAAGTTTTCCTCTAAAAGTCATAAGCTCATGGAGTGGAGGCACGAAACATAGGAACTTGGGAGAAAATGTCATTTATTGCTGTAAAACTTGACACATCTCCCACTTTCATGGATGTCATGAGCATGCTCATTCAGGGGTCAGCAAGACAACCATCTATACAACAACCATCAAATACAAAAAGAAACCTATATCTATAAAGAAGCCTTCTCAAAAACATAAGTTGCCAAGACCTGTGAATACAACAAAATACACCCAAGGCCGTGAAACCAGACAGCCACTTATGTCAGCACTAAGAATGAATCAACTCTTGCCTGTTATTGACAGAACCATCTTTGTTGTAATGATGAGCTCCTATCAGCTTTTTACCAACATCCTGTAATTGCTGTCTCAATGACACTGAGTAGACTACAACACACAAACGAGAAATAACTCCATAAGGCCTCTAAATAGACATTAAGAAAAATAAAGAAAGAAAAAATTTTCAATTTATTGAACTATTTACCATCACCCGTACTCAAACCAATAAGCAAATCATGTCCATCCTTTGCTTCCTGATCAAAGGCGTGGCACACAGGATTCGAATTACTGAAGTGAATGGACTTTATGGGATCCTACATCCAAAACCAGAAACGAATATCATGACAAATCCAAAATCCCCCCCCCCAAAAAAAAAAACAAAAGAAGAGTAAAGAAAAAAATCTAAGTCTATCATCTGTATACCTTGTCTTGAGAATTCAAATCACTAACAAAAATTGCATCACCAACATTGAAGATCAAGTACGTCCCTTTGCCATCAAAATTTGAATTAGCCATTAAACTACTTGAACTTGAGGCACCAAGTGAACCAATCCTACTGTTTACTCCAATACTCTTGCTGCTACCATTCCCTCCAACAAAACTAAGTGCGCGGCTTCCATTGCCACCTCCCAGGAATCTGGCAGCCGCTGACCGTACCCCACCGCTGGCACTAAAACTAGATGGTGGGGCAGTCGGTGTTGAAGGAGCTGGCTTCTCCTTGAGATGTGCAAGAGTTACCTAATAAATTAATCAAACAGCAATGTGCTGCTAAGATAAATGAAATATTGCAGACAGTGAAGAGAGACAAACATGCTTGAAAATGAAACACATTTTCTTTGGAAATTGGGCTTTCAGGAAGAAACCCAGAACATAAAAACGAAACAATAAAAATAGCTCTTAAAATTTTAAAAAAAGTAGGTGCAACTGAGAATAATACGAATAAATTACTCGTTGATTGCCCGAGTGAATGAATTAAAGACTTTTATAACCCAAATTAACGTTTCAAAAAACCACACAAGTTGTCTTATATAAAAATTAAAATAAAAAAACCACTCTCGATGTCAGAAATTCAGATGAACCGAATTTAGAAATAATTGTATCTAACCCTAGGAACAAAAACAAGAATCATCATCGATACAGCTAAATGGGCGCTGTGAAAGCATCCATCCTTTTTATATCTAACAAATATATATTTGGATTACAAATATAAAGGAAAAGAAAATTGAGAGTACCTGAGTGACGGTTTTGCCATGGGCATAGTGAAGGAGGGCGGAAGGGTGTGTCTTCTCGTACTGAAGCTTGTAGCGACCCTCAGGAGTCTTGAAATAAGTCTTGAGACCAGGGGATTGGGCAGTAGCGGATGAAGACGGGGATATCATGCCGTTGGGTGAGTTGATCATGGTGGCGATTAAGATATGGACAATAACATAGGATCATGACACTAGGGTTCGGAACCTTGAATTGATTTGAATTGAGTGCTTCTCCCAACCCTGCCTGTAGACTTCTCCTCCGCAGCTCTTTTCCCTGTTTTTCACTGTGCATATGCTACGCCTTCCAATGGCTTCCAGATCAAAAATGGATTTACATCATTTTAGATTGCAGTAGTAGCTGTGATTTTGCGGCTTATTGAAACGCTGCGAACTGCGAAGTGAAATTGAAATTTTCTGATAAAAAACAAAAATGTCCACGATTTGACATATACACCCTCCAGTCAACGGACCGGGTGCCTCATGCAAGAGGGGGCCAAAAAAAATAAAACACTAAAAACACGTTGGACGGGTACACGACATTTCACATAACAAGCCCACTACGCTTATGGGCCTCACGAATTCTGTAATATTGGACCCAAATAGTGGACTAATTCTAAAATTGAAGACGGCGAGGTTAGGTTGCAGGTGCATTGAAAAAAAATCGAAAAATGATAAATAAAATTACAAACTTTTATATAATATCAATTTTCTATTATAAAATCAAACCCTTTAGCGAAAGAATAATATATTAGAAAAGTAGTCATTATCAAGGAAATAATATCACTAAAAAAAAATGAAATGATAAAGTTGTGCTGGGCATGAACGTCTGGTCCATAATTGTTTTATTTCAATTTTTAAGAACTCTCCTTGACCAATGGCTTGGAATAAGATTCCTCAGTAGTTTTATCTTTTTCCTTATCTTCTGGACTATATCATGCCACGTCAATCATTTTTATGTGGGAAATAATCAGCGGAGACGAACGACAAAGGATATAGATAGTATTAGCAAATGGGTCAATCAACAAGCTAGTCTATGCGGGTTGATATTTTTGTGAGATGAGTTAAGCCAACTTGTCAAATAACATGACTTGAAAAACTTAATTTAATTTATTTTTTAATTAGCTGATTAACTCGTGAGCTGGCCTGCAAAAATGTATTAATTTTCTTTTAACAATTTAAAATTTATATAATATAAATATATACATTTAATGTATATGTCAGAAAAAATTAACAATTAAAGAACTTGTAAATAAATAAAATAAATGTAGATCTAATGAGATTAACAAATAATATGAACCCATATATTTCTCACTAAGAAATAAAATTTAAATATAAACTCATATTATTTTTCTCATTAAATTCATATTTATGATTTCAATCAATAGATTTTATGAGATTAATAAATAATGTGTATTCAAAATATTTGTACAAAGATTAATAAATCATCAATTTACAAATTATAACAAAAATTTCATTTGCAATATATAAAAAAGATTTACATTACCTTTCAAATGTAAAGAACATATTTGAGAGTTATAAATTATAAATTTAAAAAATATTATTTTTATTATAGATTTATAAAAAAATATACTGTGATTGAAAAATTTAATATACTAGCTTGAGAGTCAACCCGTTTTAATCCACTAGTTTTGTAGGTTGGACTAGCCCTGCCCATTTTTAAAAAGAGTTAATTTCTTCAATTCAACTTGCCAATTTTGATTGGTTAAATAGACTAACCTGCGAGCTCAACTTGCTTTTCGTCTTTATATATAGAAAAAGGTTTACGTGCTTATTAGTTAACAAACCCAAGTTTGTTGGTTAAACGTCGGATTTTTTGAGTATGACATTGATAAGTATTCTGTTAACTAGCAGAGCCTTTAAATTCAACAATACCCTCGTAACATAGTAGTGATCTGGTTGGCAGATGCTGGCTTATACAAACATATTGTAACAATTACATGGCTTCATTGCCATGTAATGACAAATAATCAGACTTAACGAGGGAAAAAGGAAAAAAAAAAGGCGCGCGCGCGCGCGCATTTTCCCCCTGCATGTGTTATACAGAAGAGCGTTCATATTCATATATTCCATACACTGTTGAAGAAAATGAGAACGTCTACCTTCAAATCTGAAACCTTCTCGTATCTTTTTTCTGCTTCTTTTAACCCTCAATCTTACAGGTCCAGCTTTGATCTTGTGAAGATTCCCTCTCCAGTTATGGCTGCCTCTTCGAGAGCACCATACTTTCGGGTCCGAAACTTTGTGAAGCTTAGAAATTCCATTTCCTTTTAATTTTGCACGGTAGCATTCTCTGTTCATAAAAGTGAGCATTTTTTTATTCAACAGTTTAGATTCGATTTAGACAAGTCTAGCTTAAAACTTGAAACCCTCTTCCAAACTAGTATATGTTTATGTTTATAATAGCGAAGCAAACTTCATTGCTGATCTTTGTCAAAAACGCCAATTCATGTTATTGAGTACTTGCATTTCTAATATATCCGCAAGAGTTATGAACCGGCCATCTTTAGGCAAAAAAACCTACCTTGAAGTGTTGAATCTCATTGATTATTTGGGCTAACACATGCAGCAGGAGCTCTGGTGAATATATCAAGAAGTAACGAAGTTCTGCAGTTAAATGCAAGTGTAACAAACCGAATTAAATCAAGTTGGTTGGTTAGTTCATGATCATGAGTAATAAAACAGAGAAGAAAAGTGTTCCTAAAATCAAGATCCAAAGCCAACACCGGTCCCGCCCACGAGAAACTTGAAACTAAAGCAAGCATGAACATATATAGAATGGCTCGATTTGTCTAAGCAATAACCAAAAACAACTACACTCATTGACATTTCAGCCCCACATCATCAATCTGCCGATCCTACCTGTTTTTTCTTCTTCTCGAAGCAATTCTTCCCCTAATCTCTCAGGTTCACAGAAAATTTTAACACACTGACGTCCTCTTGCCACCTTGCATTGCAACCTTTCACCAAACTTTTACCAATCAAATTCCATTCACCTTCATTATATATATATATATACCACAATGCCTCCTTCCTCTCCACTTGCTACGTATTTGTGTTCTTTCTTTCTCAGAAAACCTGCATCTCAATGGCAAATTTGCGATTCTCCCGTGTGGCAATCCTCCTCCTCCTCCTCCTCTTCGTCCATACAATTTCTGCTCAAACAGTACCAGCAGGCCCCACCAACATCACTCAAGTCCTAGAGAAGGCGGGTCAGTTCACTACCTTCATCAAGCTTCTCGAAGCTACTCAGGTGGCGGGCAGAATCAACGCTCAGCTCAACAACTCAAACCAAGGCCTCACTATCTTCGCACCCACGGACAATGCCTTCGCAAGCCTAGAATCAGGCACACTCAACTCCATCAATTCCCAAGAACAGCTCCAGCTCGTGCAGTTCCACATCCTCCCCACTCTCTATACCATGTCCCAATTCCAGACTGCGAGCAACCCCTTACAGACGCAAGCCGGAAATGGAGGCGACGGTCAGTTCCCCCTCAACGTCACCACCTCGGGAAACCAAGTGAACGTGACCACAGGAGTGGTCGACGCAACTGTCGCTAACACTATTTATAGTGACAGCCAGCTTGCGGTGTATCAGGTGGATCAGGTGCTGCTTCCTTTGGCGCTTTTTGGCGCGCCCCCAACGGCGGCACCGGCTCCCGCGCCCACTAGGCCGGAGAAAAATGTCCGGGCTTCCGATTCTCCTTCTTCAACTACATCGAATAACACTTCCGGTGTGTTGGGTCTCAGTGGCCTTAGAGGGGTTATCCTCAGTATTGCAGTTACTGCTATGACTGCTTCGTGTTCGTTTCCTTAATCCAGGGGTTGATTCTTTTTCTTTTCTTTTCTTTTTTAATTTTTAATTTCATTGAGCGAGTGTTCAGTTGATTGCTGATTGCTGATTTTGAATTTTCGATGGAGATCTCGTGGTGTATTATTGCTAGCTGCAAAATTATAAAATGTCTTCAATGCAACTGAGAATTGTTTGTCACTGAAATACTCGTGCAAGTTGGGAAGGCGTATGTACTTACCAGTTTCTTGAAGAATATATAACGAAAAGGAAAGCCATCCTTGAATTCCAACTCGCAAGAGTTAAACGAGAAAATAGATATTGAGGTCATGTGAGTTATAACTCTTTCCAGTTTTCGTTGTCAAGGGCATATTGATTCTCAAATTTAAATCAACTTAGGATACATAAAAATATCAATCAATCATGGGGTATATAAATACATAGTACAGCAATAAGTGAAAGCTGTACTATTCATCTTAGGCAAAATCACACGTCCAAAGAAAAGTATTAAATATATCTTATAACTTTATTTTCTTAAAAAAAAACATAAACTTTTAAAATTACTCTTCATTTAATATACAATGATAAAAAAAATATTTAAAAAATAAAATAAAAAAGATAATATTAAAAACCATTATTAATAAAATTTTATTTTTTTTAAGTTATTTTATATTTTAAAATATTAAAAAAATTAAATGTTTTATAATTTTAAACGGGGAAGATAATGAACTAAAAATCCTTCCATATTTGATGGCTGTCAAATTGCTTTTTCTCAACCAACACTAGGCCCATGTGGCCTAAAACAATAGTGGGCCCGTCGTTTCTTCAAGCAAAAACTCTGGATCCCAATTCGCAACGAAGGATGGCGTCCAAAATTTTGGGACCGTTTAAAATTATTTTTATTTTAATAAAATTATTTTTATTTTAATAAAATTATTTTTATTTTATTATTTTAAAAATTGGTGTTTTATAAAATATATTTTAAAAATAAAAAATAGGTGTTTTTTTATTTTTTTCTTATTTTTAGAACAATAATTTCAAAACAACTGAAAGTTGTTTCTATTTTTCTGTTCTCCAGAATAATATTTTATTTTATTTTTAAAATACTTTTTAAAAACACATTATTAAACAAATTTTTTATTCTTTTATTTTAATAAAAAAAATTATTTTTAGAATAAGTTGTCAAACAGTCTCTGATGTGATGAACTAATTTGACAAACGTGGGAAATATTGGGGAACAGTTTCCAAAATGTTAAATTATAGGGCCCAATTTTAAAATTAGTGCAGAATATGGCTTATAAAATGATTATTTTTCTTTTTCATTAAATCTTGAAAAGAAAGGTTGATTATGCTTATACTTTTGCAGACTCTCGTCGCTGGCGTCCCTGGTGGCTTGCTGGCGTGGAGGAGTTTTCTCAGCCGCAATGCTGCCTGTTCGAGACGCGGCATTTGAGATTAAGAGAGAGAGCGAGAGATTTCTTTAGAGGAAAAAGCAATGAGGTATTTTAAAATACCTCTCTTTTCCAACTTTCCTTTATTTATTTAATTTTTTTTCTTCCCTGAGCAATATGCTGAACGATTCAAACAATTGAACTGCTTTCAAACGTGTAGATTACATTTCCTTGTACTTTATATAATGTAAAATTTATTTCTTCTAATTAAAAAGATCTATATAACCAACTTACTATATAATTCGCCTAGTGTCATTATATATGATGTTTAATTTTGTTTTATAATAAATTTCTAATTATAAACTATTAAATTTAGAATGATAATTTAAGAGCATATAAAAACTTATTGTAAAGTGAGCACTTTAAGTTATAAAAATGGGAATTTTAAGTAGTAAATTTGAGAGTGTATGTATTGCGTGCATGTGGATTTAGATTTAATGAATAGCTTGAATTCATTTACTTTATAAGAGTAATCAAGACACATTTCTTTTTAAAAATTTAAAACAATCCTTTCCATTAAAGCACTTCACCCTTATATATATTATCCCTTCAAAAGGTTTGAAATTTAAAACTTTTTATATATTATATAACAAAAAATTTTTACAGCCATTCAATTAAATTAAATTATTATTATTGTATCACATGAAATACTCATTGAATGAGTAGGCTCAATCCACTCGTTGAATGAATTGACTCAAATCTCATGTGTCCTTCTTTGACATTAAATTTTTTATATGATTTTCAATTTTTATTTTTCTATCAGTAGATCTATCCCGTCTCAAGCCATTTGACACAAATAGATTATATGAGTAAAATTTACTACTTATATATTACTTATTTTTGTCTATACAATCACGCACATTTGCATGTGGTGTTAAATTAACATATCTTTTTTATTTTTTCCATATAAAATTATATTAATAGAAAGAAAAAAGTCCACACAAAAAAATTAAAACATACATGGCCAAGCCTAAAACCAAAAAAAAAAAAAAAAGCTAAACAACTCACCTGACAAACAATACACACCACCAAGAGTCAGCCCTAACCTTGAGTCAAATACAAGAAACAAACATGTCACCATTGTGAAAATAAAAAAAAAACACCAATACTCAGTTCGATAAATAAGGGATAGATGTTTAAAGAACCACCCTATTAGTCTCATTCTTTTTGAACTTTATATTGCTACCAAGAGAGTAGAACCATCTCTTTTACACAACTTCTATCATGAAGAGAGAAGCACAAACACCAACCACAAAAATGTTCTAGCTTCCATTGACTTCAACTAGCACCACCAATCCCATTGCAACCCAAAGCTACTAGAACTATGAGAAACAAGCAAAAATCACCACCAACTAGCCCACATCAAAAGGATTAAAGTAAGGAACCATACCAAATTCAAATCAAATATAAGAGATTTATGAGTATAAGAGTTACCTTTGACCCAGAATCTTGTAGTCGTTGAACCAAGCTTGGGAGCATTAGGGAGAAGCTTAAGAAAACTCAATTCTCTATCTAGCCTTTAAACTACACTCTTACGCTCTGTTTTCTTCTTCCTTCCCTTCACAAGCTTGACCAACAACCCCACAAAACCCACCTCGTAGATTGCAGTAGCCTTCAATAAAAGCACAAAAAAAAAACACCTAATCCTCCTAAACATTAACCCCCATCTTAAAAAATGTAACATCCTAAAAAAAAATTAGCTTAACCATGGTGGGAAAGAGTCTATATCATAGTAAACAAATGATAACTAATTCCTTTTAAAACAGTTCTTCAACTTGAAAGTACTACCATGATAGAAAAAAGTGAAACATAATCTATAAAAATAATTTACCTTTTAAAAATAATTACCATGGTAAATAAAATTTAACTTATTGAAACAGTTATTTCTAAATTTTTGGGATCCCAAATGTTTACTAAAAAAAATAAGTGTGAAATGCCTAAATGATCCCATAAGAGTTAAATACATGACAAATAAAGATAAATTATAGATTTAGAAACCGTTATGCATTTCAAAAACTATTAAACACTTTGCAACACTTTCAATAATATATATGCATCCATTAGTCTGATCATTCCAGTACAAATTTATATCAAGGAGACTAACATAGAGTCATCTAATATTTGGCTTAGACTTGCACAACACAACATCCTAAATAAATTTTAACCTCTTACAAAATTACATTTTTCTAACCTTATGCTTCTAGCAAGTGCAAATCATAAGCCAATAGCCTAAAATAAATAATACAATTACTTCCAAAATGAGCCAAACAAATAGCCCTGCAATCATGTCATTTGAAACCATCTAAAACAAATCAAGATTCACATTTTATAGTTATCAAGATAAATACCTCAATTAGTAATAGTTTGAAGGGCATGATCACACAACATCACAATCGTTGCTATTTTTCTCATTAACAATAATATTACAACCTAACATCACACTTGGCAACAACATTTCAAGCTATATCTTCATGTTCTAACATTTTATCAATAAACATAACAACAAAATTCATTAATAACTATTTCAACATGCCTTCCCATTAATCACACAAATAACAATTCACAACACTAATAATAAACTAAAACATGGTTACTGTGTGGCTTTATCAATAATTCACCATTTACAAATTCTTTTTCACCACAATCTTCACTAATAATATAATCTACACATGATATAATATGAAAAAATTAATTATTTAGTCTTTATAGTTTTGATCCAGTTGTACTTAATCCCTCAACTTTTTCTCGTTATAATTCAGTCCCTGAAGTTTTAACTTGGTTATAAATTAGTTTTTGAACTTTTTCTCTTATAATTTAGTTTTTAAAATTTTAACCTTTTAAATACTGGCCTCTATATTTTTAAAAAAATTACAAAAATTAAAAATATTTTAAATTTTTAATATTTATAATATTTATAAAGATTAAAAGGTTTAATAATTTAAAATATTAGTAACAAATATTAAAAGTTTGAAATATTTTTAATCTTTTATATTTTTTTTAAATGTAGGGACCGATATTTGAGATGTTAAAATATTAGAGAGTAAATTACAAGAGGCAAAGTTCAACTACTGATTTACAATCGAGTTAAAATTTTAAGAGTTAAGTTATAATGAGTCAAAATTTAAAGACTGAGTTACAACTAAGTCAAAATTACAGGGATCAAATGATTAATTTTTCTTATTATAATATATTAGTTTCAATTATTGAAACAAATGAAACAACTCTAATTATATAGTTAGAGGACATAGCTTACACTACGCTCTACATTTCATTATTTATACTAATTCTAAGGTTAGTATGACCAATCCAAGTTCTAACTCACCTACTAATATAATCATCCCTTAATAGGCCATAATTGATCCTCTAAAACATTTTTAACACCATAATTTTTCTCTTTTCTATCCCATAAATTTGCACCATAAATACCCAAAAAATACAAAGTGGGTCTCAAAGTTCAGATTCATCATTCTAAAGCCTTGAAAGCATGTTTCTAATCCTAAATAAACATCCAAACATCACAAAATCCTCTTCCTCTTTCAAATTAAAAAAAAATTTATACATAAAAGTCTAGGGTTTAACTCACAAACCTCAAATTCAAATTTTATTAACAAAATAATACTCTAAAGCATTTATTAAACCACCAACAACTATATTTATTCATCATAAATTTGTCCTCCTTTCAAACTCTCAACTAGGTACTTCTAAGAAATCCCAAGAAATTAGTGTAGAAAAGGAGAAAAGGAAGCAATGAACTTA